AATTAATTTTCTTGAAATTATTGACCTTAACCCTTTGGTGCCATTCTCTATCCTATGATATAATATATCCGAAGTTTTTTTACTTACTGTGGTAGTCTATACTAAAACTTTTTTACTAATAAAGCTATTATACATTTGCTTGTTGCATATTTTTTAATGTTCGTTATGTTTCTTAATGTTTTGCGTTTCAATCAAAAAAAAAGTTTGTTACAATGTTCATTTTTATTTTCATACAGTACCTTCCAACAAACAAATTGATGTTAATGACATTATTTTGATATCAAAATTACAATAAATAACGTCAGCTTATTTACTGCGCTTTATCGTAAATATATAGTAAAACATATAATACGTGACACTGTGAAGGGAAATTAGCAACAATTTTTCAAGGAGAATTTCCTTGGGAAAATTTATTTTAAGTGAAATGAAGATTTTTAAAGATATTAAAGGAAAATTTTTAAGTTTCTTTAGCTTTTTTAGATTTTTCTTAAGTAAGTTTTAGGATTGCTTTTAGAAAAAATTAAAAATGTTCAAATTTACTCTTTATATTTCTTAGCTTTTCTCTTCAATTTTTTCTATACTAAGTTTTGAGTTTTTTTTTTAAGTTTTCTAAGATAAATTTTTCCAAGGATTATATCTTTTAAAAAATTCAATATCTGTTAATGTAAAAAGAAAAGATTAAATAAAATAAAGATTAAATCTTTTATAGGCTCTCCTATTAAAGAAAAAAATCTTTAAAGATTAAATTTCTTTCTAAAATACAAAAAACGTTAATCAGTTCTTAAAATTAGATTTACATATAAAACTCGTTTACTCTCATAAAGAAGAAATTGAAGTAACGATAAAATTAATGTTGATAAAAATAAAAAAATCTGAATTTCTTAAAAAATTCACAATATTTTTACTTTTCTTTCGCGAAATGATTTTAATGATGTTTAGAATATCTTTAAAATATCCTTTTTTCAAATATATAACATCTACAGAATCTTCTGATAAAAAAAGCACGTCAAGTTTTCTTATTCTAATTCTACAACAACAGCCGCGCTTTCCCTTTTCTTTTCCACGGAAGTGAAAAGGATCGGACACGCACCGTGTTGTTATCTGTTACACGGTGCCTGCCCACGGCTCTTATTTCCAACTCTTGTTTTCGAAACAGCCCGCGATCACTCGTGCGTAATTGAATGGATCACCTAAGTGGATCCGACGAAACAGGCTGTGAACATTGAGCAAAAATTTCCGTTTTACGACACTTCGGTCAAAGTTTTGAAAAGCGAAGCAGAAGCGGAAATTGACATTTGCATATCGAATGAAACTTTATCGTAAAGCTGTCTTATTGATTGGATTTGGATTTCAGTGGCTTTATTAATATTTTTTTCATATAAATTAGTGCATAAATTCTAATAATTGAAATCAAATCTCACTTACAAGACTACTTTGTATGAATCTAAGGCACTGTGCACAATATAAGAAATATTAGAAATAGGAATAAATATTAAGATTTCAACCTGTTAAAAATCATATATTTCAGTGTAACTCATTCCTTTGATAGATTGAAATCTTAACACTTATTCTTGTTCTTAATATTTCTTCCATTGGGCTCTACTCCATTGTTATAAAAAAATATTAAATGAGATGTGAAATTATTTATGCTTACATAATAAAGGAAATGATAATCTTCCATAATTATGTGACTTATTAATTATTATGCAATGCATTATTATTATTAATTATAATTTTAAATGCAAAGGTCACGGACATTATTTTATCATAAATTAATAAAATTGTTATAAACATTGCAAGTTTAACATCGATCACCGCGTTATGATGTCTATAATTTTTTGTTCGAGTCAAAAAGCTTATTTTTTATTGCTGCATTGGACTTGACTGCATCAGAACTTTTCTCCCTTGAATGGATCATTTTTGACACAAATACAAAATGTTTTATATCGTGTAACGTATTCATTTTAAGTTAAATAACACAACAATTTTGATGGATCATTTGAGTAAAATGTATTAACATAAATTTTCCAACTGTGTGCATTGGCGGAATTGAAAAGGATCTCAAGATCAGAGATCGAAACCGATATTGGAATTTGCAATTAATTATAAGTATAATTATTACATTTAAAATTTTGATTAGTCGTCTGTGAAACTCGCACTATGGCCATCGTTTTAATAACTACAATCGCTTAAAGTTTCGATTGCGTTGCAGTGTAACGTGGTAATTAAATCGAGCAATATTCCGAAAAGCTGTAGTTCGTTATGGCGATTAATTATTAAACATCCTCTCGGCAAAATGCAACACTCGCTGGCAGTTATTAGTTACGAATTGCGAACTACTTTCACAATTAATATCTCTGTATGTTCGCACATGGCCAAGTATTCTGCTATAACAGATGGAACGTGAAAACTAACGGCTGTCGGAAAGATGGAAAAAATGAGTGATCCATTTGCGTCAATTATTCGCTGTTATATGTCAAAGTGTTCTAATTCCTAATGACAGACTTTTCTCTCTATGTTGCGTGAGAATATGAAAAATTATAGTGCTAATGTTATTCCAACTGTTATTCCAAAAATAGAATTGAATAGAGAAGTTTATTCGTAAGACAATAGAAAATAATTTAAATTAAATAATTGATTTACAAGGTTCCTGTTTTTAACATCTGAATAATGATTTTTATGTATATTTTTAACTATTGAAAATGAATATAAGATTATAAAAATTGCGTCACAGATTTTGAGAAATCAAGGATTCTATTTTTTAAAAACCTACAAATAGGAACAATATACAATTTTTTTCTTTTACTTTAGAATAAAATACATAAAAATCACTATTTTATAGATACTTCAAATTTATAATAAACAGTTAGGATCGTAGCTTTACAGAAAATAATTTTTTTAATTTGTAATAAAAAGACTATTAGGCTCGCAGTTCTTTATTTATTTATATGATTGTTATCTAATTGAACCTTGTATTACAAGGCCCAATTATTATTGTTGTATTGTTAAAAAGAAATTTACTTTTTTATAAACAAATATAAAGCAAAAATAAATTAGAATATTAAAAATATACGAAATGTTTACAAGCGTTTTACGTAATATTAATGAATGAAAGATATCTCTCTAAAAGATATTGATTTTGCAACGTATATTTTAAAAAGTGAGACATCTCACTTACATGCTTAATGCATATCTTATCTCGCATAATTATACTGGGAAGACGTGCGCAATTACATGTTGTTCTGCCAGTATGAGGAGATAAAATGATACGCTATTTGTTGCAAATGAGAATCTCACTGACGATAATTATATAGGAACTTTCAATTACTCGAACCGCTATAAGCTTCGCAAAATAAAATTTCTTCAGTTGAACTAACCAGAATAATCTATAAAAAGCGTTGTGAAAATTCCATTCTAAAAAGTCCAACTTCTCAGACATTTTTACACTTTAGATTATATTTAAAAACATTTTAAATAAACAAAATTGTAGGAGATTGCTTTATGTTTTATTCATTTAATATCGAGTTAGTTTACTTTTAAAAATCGGATTTCTTCCTATAATGTAAAAAATCTAAAGAAAGGGTTCAATTTCACATCACAAAATAAAATGAGATTTTTTTTTTTTAATTTCATGTCACTTTTCAGTAATTAAATTGTTAATAGAAATATAAACGCAATCCTCAGTAATTCAAAAAAACTTGATTTGGAAGAACTTAAAGTTAATAAGTAAGCTTAATTAATGATTAGCCAGTAATTCGAAGTATTTTTATAAGAAGCTATCATTATTTTATAAAAAAAATTCGAAATCGATGCATTCTTCCATTACGATGGAAAAATATTGGAATTGTTGCGAAAGTAATCCTGTATCTCCGCGAGGGTCCAACTCCTCATGGGTCCGTAAACGATGCCTAATCTCGTGTTCTCATCAACGAACATCGCTTCCCTCTTCACGGTCTGTATAAAAAAGTAAAAGACGTCTGCTTTGCCGCTTTCCGTCGTGTAATTAACCCGGACCTTGTTGGTCCTGTAGCCGCCCTCGACGACGCTCACGTGGCCTTGCCCATAGACGGACGCGGCGATCACGCACTGGATGAGCTTGCCCGGTGGAGCTCTGTAGTACATCTCTGCTGTACTGTTCATCGGGAAGTACGACTTGTGGCTCTCCAGCTGGATAACTCGGGATATCACATCATCCTCGGTAAACTTGTCGCCCTGCATCAGCCACGTAGCTCTACGGAAAGAAGTTCCTGTCTGCGAAGTTCTGGAAAGCGCGCAGGCTGACGACAATTGCAGTCGAGTTTCACAAAAGCCGTCATGAGGCAAGAAACTTCCTTTCTTCGGAGTGAGAAGATATCGGAGAGAATTTTGCGTCATCTAATTCCAACGTTAAATCACGAATTATGGAGTGGATGAAAAGATTTTGAAAGAGCTCTGATCAAATGGAGATTACTTTCTTTTTCGCGCTCGTTGGCGTGAGTAGAAACTATGATAGGAGTATATTGGAGCATGTTGAAGTATGCGATGCGAACAAACCTTTTGATGCATGAATAAGCATCGTAGTCTTTTTCTGACAAATCAGTCATGAAATTTTTAACATTTAAATATGAAACATAATTTTTTTCTATAAATATAAAATATTCTTTTTTCCTTTCTTCGGAAAAAAAAAATCTGATTAACTTAAAAAAATATCACCACAAAATCATATTGCAATGTAAAATATATGCGTACGTTACAAAGGCTAGCTCCAGTAAGACTTAAATTTTCTTAAAAGTTTATGTCGATAGCCACGAAATCTCTTTAGCTTTCAGCGTTAGTAGAAAAAAATAACTTTTTTTTTTCTTGAAATAAGTGTACTCACGGTTCGCTTAGTGCAGGATTAGAAATGTAACAGAAGATTAGAAGGTAAATGCGCGTCATCGTTAGTAATTGCTGATGTGCGAAAAGAGATTCTGAAGTTAGCTGCCAGTTGATATTAATTTGCTGATGTGGATTGCCTGCTCAATGTTGTGACACTGTTCAGTGTTTTTGGCCTGATATCATTATCGCGCACGCGATGATCGTCTTTGTGAGATAGTAGTAGAGCGTGCACTAAAATTAACGAAGAGGGCACGGTAATGGCCCCAATAGACTGATGCTGGGCTGCTGTTATGATGATCCCTCCTCTTCGTCTTCTATTGCGCGTCATTTACCGCGAGATATTACCACTTGGATTATATTCTTTATTTAATTTGGTATGGGATTTAACTTGGCGCTAGTGATTGATATCAAATCTTTTATATAAATGATATATGGTATATCGTTAGAGTTAAGTAAATAATAAAAGTAGTACCATTTGGATTTTATTTTTTATTTGGTACAATAAAAAATAGTATTACTTGGATTTTATAATTTGGTACAAATTTTTTTTTCGCGGAGTAACTCTTTTTTTATCATTTCTTAAAAAGATAATTTTTTTTCTATATATCAATTTAGTCACCTCATTATTCTGTACATATTAAAGTACAATTCTTGTTAAATGGATGAACTTGAATTTCATGAACTTGATCACGAACCTGATCACGAACGAGAACTACATCCATCCCATCGACCTCCGGCCACCACGGCGATGGTATTGCGGTATTGTTCTTCTTTAAAACTAAAGTGACTGAGTGCCATTTGCCTTTTGCGTGCGAACCGGTGCATTCGTTGTTCTTAGCTTCGAACAGCAAGTATTTGAAACATTAACAAACAAAAAGCTAAAGATAGTGATCTTCCTAATTAAAGATTATCATCATGTACATTGGTGTATGACGTGTGTCGTAAGTCGAGAAAAATTTGTGACTTGATCAATTAACCAATTTCATATTCATATAAATTAAAGGTAAGCAGTGTGATCTTCAGGATTAAAACTCGAAAAAAGATCTACGACGCTTTTATACTTAAATTTCACAATAGAAGAAATTAAAAAAATTAGTTTTTGAAACTCAAGAGATGAAAAACATGATCCTTGTAATTAAAAATTTATCTAATTTTATTGTATAATTATAACTGTTTATCTTCATTTGACGTGAATCAAAAATAAAATGATACGATAACGCAGATAGCGCGTTAACCGAGCGCAGTCAATATCGTAAGATTGGAAGATGGAAGATTGTATTCTAAATTGAATCACTCTAAATTGATCGTACTCTAAATTGAAAATAGAAGAAGGAAGATTGTATTCTAGCATAATTCATGACAAATTAATTTAATACACTTTCTCGAATTTTTCGCATAAATCTGAAGTTAGTAATGGTTTTTGAGTTTAATTTTTCCAAGAAACCGCAAATTTCTCCAAAGTACGCTTGCTGTAGCATTCGTTAAGAAACGTTCTGTTTTACGCGACGCAAATCGGTGATTATCAATCTTGTGTCATTTTTAATACGGTACTCCGATCTGGAATCGTCGGTCACGATCGATGAATGCGTGACATCCGGTGCGACCTCGAACACGAAGAATTCGTCAGTATGGTGGCCGAGCTAGCTAGCATTTCCACGGCGACGATCGACGGAAAATCATCGGACCTTGGTAGCACCTCGAAACATCACAAACGACCTAAATGGATTCAAACGGCGACGCGTGAGTCGATCTATAGCGTTCTGGACATCAACGAGAATATCACAACGAAAAGTTTTCCTCCGAATGTCCACGGCAAGATCGTACTGATCAGCGCGGTGAAGGACAAACCAAACCAGAGTCTAGAAAACGAGCAAGCAGAATTACCATACGTCAGGTTATCAGCTGAAAATAAAGCGTCGTCGATTCTTGAGGTCGAGGATGAGAACACTCTTTACAGCGTGGTAAGAAAACCGAAGAAAGTGCGGTTGCTAGAAACGCCCTCCGAAGCGAACGAGAAGGTGATTCGACCTATAGATAAGATTCGCGACATCGATCCAAACGAAAGGCACGAGCAGCAGCAACTGGACCATAAAGACGTGTCCAGGCGAGTCGAAGTGAGAAAGTGGCTCTACGACACGCCTAAACAGTCCCTTTCGAATTCGTTGGAAATGTATTTCGATCATTCAGGGTACGAGAATACCTGGCCTGATCAGGAGAACTTGGTAGCATTGCCTCGAGGAGTGGTGGGTCTCGTGGGTCCCTATAGGATATATAGAAACCCTAATGAGAGGAGAGAATATATGCTGCAAGAGGAGGAACTTGTTGAAGAGGTAATGAGTTGCGCCAGTAAAAAAGTACAAGAAGAAGAGAGCAAGGACGAGCATCGTCAGAGGGCGAAATGGAAAATCAGGGAGGATGACGAGGAGACCTTAGTACCGGATATCCGGAATCTGTCCGGTTTCGTGGAAACGAAGACGGACAGCGCCAAGATGGAGAATAATGATTGGAAGAACGAACGAGAATCAGTAACGAAAGTGAATCATTCGGATTGTGTCGAAGGGATTCTGTTTGGTAAAGAAGAATGCGCGGTGGATGTACCAGATACGGTATCTGCAATCTCGACAACGTCGATGAAGGAGAAATGGGGTGAGAAAATCTCTTACAACAATCTCGCGAGATATTTGCGAATTTTAATAAGTTTAATGATTACTGAATTATTTATTGCTAAGCAATTAAAATAGAAATACAAATAAATAATATTAATTAAAATAATACACAAATAAGTGAAGAAGGCTATATTCAAAATGGAGTTTAGTATTTAAAAAGATAAATTAAAATATGTCAAATTTCCTAGCTCGCGCGAGATTGTCAAGCAAAGAACCAATGAATAAAAAAGTCAAAAACACGAGTCAACAATATAAAACATACTGAATGTGCACATCGATTGTAACTTTTTTTTTAGTACTTTTGTTATTGCGAATTATGGATTCTGATTCATCTATTAAAATCTGTTGTATCGTGGGAATAAATGCATAAATAGATAAGTGAATTGACAGTTGCTTTCTTCTTTTCGATCGCAGCTCTTGCTTATTTGTAAATTATAATCAGGTGCGTTTAAAACGCTGCGAAACTACAAAATGGTCAACTACTCGTAGAAGCTAACGGCGTGTAATTCGGCAAAGTAGGTATGTCGTCCACATTCGATATGCAAGGCGACACGCATCTTACGGTATTGTCCGACAAAATGGACTCGAGTAGCGGTAGATAGTACCAGGTATGCATACACATCAGCCTGCCGATACGTGCGGTTCATGAACCAACGATTAGCTGAACATTCGATTAGAACTGCATTTCTATACACTTGCTTGTCTATCCTGCCTGTCTTATTCGAACAACGGTGAATTGTCTTGCTCGAATCTAAAATTAGATTCTACGGGATGAGAGACTTGAACCTTCATCAGTTCAAAAGAAGATAAACAGGATAGCAATGTTCTGTTGCAGACAGCAGTTTACGTGAAGATATTGAAGATTATTAAGTTTCAACGATTCTTCTTCTTTAAGAGAAATCTTAGTGAACTTTTTAATTAAAAAAATTAATTCTCTGCGTACACTTTAGTCTTTTTAATTACTCATTTGAAATATTAGTTATGGAAAAATATGGATGATTAAAAAAACTTATAACTGAAAATATATAACTTGAAATTTTCGTATACTTCTCTACGCACACTTCGAAGGATTACGGCTGAGTCATTCTTGACTACCGTAATCCAAAAGTTTTACATTGCTCCGCATATGAATGTAGCACAGCAGTGAAAAAGCAGCAGTTTTCGAGTTTTGGATCTTCTACACTCTTACGTATGTAAAGCATCCGGAATATATCGTTTGTTTTTCTTTTTATAAAAGCTCACATATTAAATCATTATTAAATTTTTATTATCTCCACAGCGACGTTAAAAGTATTAATTAATAACACTGACGATTTTTTGTATTCTCCAAGTATTTCATTGCTCGAGAGTTAAAATGAGTATTCACACGCAGCTTTCTAGTCAAGTACAGTTTGTTCTTGCTTTCTTTCGAAAGACCTCTCATTAAATGGTTCGATATGATGCACTCTTCGGCACAGCCGCCGTAAAACAACTGCGGCAGCATATATCACATGAATCGCGAGCCGCTCACGACTTTCACCATTTTTATGATTTTTACACACCTTTTACCATCCAGTACAATCGGCAATTTTACGATCTGTGTCATCGGGCTTTCATTATCGCGGCTCTTAATCTTATTCCCACCTGTCTCGCCGTTCGTTTCCTATAAGTTGACCGGTCGAGACTTTATCTTCATGCGAACGCTCGCATTATACCTCCTTGGAGCGATGCGTTGCATTCGAGCGGATGTGGATTCGCATCGAGGAAATTAGAAAGCATGCATAGCAAGCGTACATGAGTTATTCCATCGGAATTAACGGGAATGCAAAATACGTGATATAACCGCTCCATTGTCTTCTCACGGATCTCTGTAATTCTTCAACGACTCCAGAGGCGCAAAAATCGAGCGCGAGCAGGAGAAAAGATCTATTATCCTTGCACATAACTTTTGAGGTCATTCCACTGTGCCATGAATCGTTTTCTCCTCCGTGTGTGTGTGTGTGTGTGTGTGTGTGTCGCAGAGAGAAAAACTTCACTTTGATAACATATGATCGACGCGAGCATGAAAAGTGGAGGACTAAGATAATTTTGAATATGCAGTGTAATCTTACGTAATAATTTAAAGAGAATTAAACTCGAAAAAAATGCTTGCATTTGTCATTCCGTAAATTCATTTGCAATAGTGATATAAAAACAGGAATATATCAAACAATAATAAGTATTTTGTTCGATTTCAATTTTTAATTGGAAACCAAATTTTGCCGGCAATTAAATGTAAAATAATATACAGTTCAACGCGAATCCTCGTATTATTTTCGAAAATATTAATGATATTTTAAAAATAAAAACACACGTGCTTACGTAATTATAAGTCATAGATCATTCTGCAGATATTAGAAATATATTATAACTATAATTAAATAATTAAATATCTATCGAACGCTCGACTGCTCATTAATTAAATTAACATACTTGAGCTTATACTGCAATCCTTTCACTAGCGGAAAGTCGATGAAAAGTGATAAGAGAATAGGGGGATCTTGTTACAGACAAATTAGCTAATTATCCCGAGATTAAACGTATATGTGGATGAAACGGACGGGATACTCGAGCACTTCCTCTTCGGCTGCTGTAACTTACTTTCGTGTTCTACTCCGAGCAACACCATGCCCTGACTCCATTAATCGTCGCATAGCTTCAATCTGTCAGCCATATGACGCCACCGTTACTAAAAGCCTCCTGACAGCCCTCAGTCACTGTTACACATAACTGATTTTCTGCAGTTAGATGATGCAGCTGCATCTCGCCGAATACCGCCGCCGGCCTGTATACAGTTAACCACTTTTCTCGCAGCGGTGCACGGAACAAGCAATTGCGTCTGTGCGAAAAATATTATTTATATATACGCACGTGCCTTCTATTCGCGAATAACCATATTATAGTTTCCGACTTTTCGACGCAGATGTTCTCTCGTCGAGCGACTCGATCGCTGATCGACAATCCTAGATCACTATTAAAGTGCTGTCGCGTGAGTAACGACGATACGCATGGTGATAAATTTGCCCGAACAAATTGTAAAAGCGGTACCAAATCGCAATAAAGAAGGTTCAAATTGGGAAAGAATCGAGGAAGTTTTTTACTAAATATTCTTTACGTTACTTTATACGAACTATTGTAAATTTGAGATAATTCTGAAAGCGTTTATTAGACT